GTCTCCTCTTTGCTATATTAACATGAACACTGGAATTGAGTCACAAGCAGTATCTGCCTAGAAAACAGTGTTTTGTATTTTACTGTAGCCCTTCTGTAACAGCAAAGCTGTGACCACAGTGAGGACAGAGTCGTCTTCTACAAATTTAATCACTGGGTGGTTCCATGGACAGAGAATACAAGCAGGAGAGGAATTTCTCCACAAATGCTGCCTCTTTGCAAAGCATCTCTGCTGGAGAAGGAGCAGTGGGAGGCAGCCGGGGCAGGGCAGCCTGGGCAGGCAGCAGAGTGAATGCCCAGCTGATGGCCAGGAATCACAGCCAGAGCTATGTTCAGATCAACTCGAGGCACTGACTTCATGCTGCCTTCCCAGGTCCCAGTGAGGTGCCTTGACAGCCATTCTCCTGGTTTTATTGATACCAGAAAGGCTGCCAGGGAGGTTTTCATGGTCCAAATGTCAGGGAAATGGCACAGAAGATGATCACACACGTTACAGACAGACTACAACAGCTGCCCTTTTGAGGAGCCAACTGATACCCTATGGTTTGAAATCAAGACAGCCACGGACAACTGCTCCTGAGCCCAATCCCAAACCTCACAGAAAGAATGTGGAAACTTCACCAGGATGTGCCAGTGTGCTCCAGGGATAAGCATGAAGGTAACTCTGGCTGATGTAGTTGTTCAGCTCTGAGCGTTAAAACCACATTTGCACCTCGCACAAAAGGCCACAACTTTCCCAAGTCCAAGACTCAATAATTGGTCATCAAACACAAAACATCTCTGTAAGGAATTCCTGCAGTCGGCTGTCTGAGCCATGTGATCTCCCTTCTCTTCCATTTCACAGACTACATTAACCACAAACATTTCATGTCATACATTTTTATTAACCTGGAATGCCAGCAAATGACTCTTTTTTTGTTTTTTGATTCCACGACAAAAACCACCTCCAATTTGGGAAGGTCTGTCAGCATCACTGCACCAATCACTTTGGTGATGTCACAGTGGAAGGACTCAGCTCTCCCTAATCCCAGCTGTGCTCTGGAGCACCACTGGACAGCTCTGCCCACCCAAACAAACCAGAACAATGCAAGAAAAGATGATAAACCACAGGGAGATGGGGGTAAGAGCTTCTCCTTTGCCACCACAAGGCAACTGAGCTCTTCCCAGAAGTGCATCAGGATGGTATTCCCAAATTTGGCCTGCCAGCCTGGTTTCTGCCTACTTTTTCTCCCAGAGTAGCCAATGGGACAGAATTCTCCTGGTATCAGGAAAATGGGAAGATCCACCCAGCACACAGTTAATTACCTGCCCACTCAGCAGCCTCTGTACTAGCAAATGTTACAGGAATCTGTATTACATAAATAAAAATGCAATGGATACCTGGCTTTGCCATCACACCCTGATCTTTCTGTTAATATCATAATGACACTAAACCATCCGGTTTTCCCGATTTCCTTTCCCAAGGGATGATAAGAAGTAATCTCCCTGTTGTTACAAATGCTTTATTTTGAAAAGAAAGCTTTTATGCATATTTTAGATGATCTAAATACAGTAGATCTCGCGTTTTTAAATCACCAGATAATACGCAATTATCTCAAGCTAGATTCTGATTTTGAAACAAGCTCTAATTAGCTCCCCATTTTATGCTGCTATAATCCTTTCTTCAACTCCCATGAGTGTTACTATTGCTAAGCAGCATGAGGTTAGGAATGATGGATGATACCCAGAAAGGAAGACAAACAAAAGGGAAATTCAAAATCCCCTGAGATCACCCGCAGCTGTATCGGCAAATGAAGATTTCCACATTAGGTCATAAGACGACCCTTACAGAAACACACACCAAAAAGGCACGTCTTCTTCCCACTGAGTATTTGCAAGCCTTTAATGTAGTATATAGAGAGTGTATGTCCTTCACAGAGGATAAAATAAAAAGTGAATGTAAAAATTCAGCTCTCCTGCTAGCAGCCACGGAATCAACAGCACCAAAAAGGAAACTCTGTCTCAATCTCCTATAGATACGCAGCACAAACCCCCAAAATAAAACCAACTAATAAAAGCTGTGCACAGTACAAGTATTTAGAAAAATATCTGAGCCTTCTCCTGGCACATGGCAACTGTTCAAACCCACCCCGGCTCCCATCAGCAGTAATGCAACTAAATAAGGGCCAAATTCATCACGAAAAAATGCTGATGCAGTTGGGTGACACTAATTCAACTTTTTTTTCCATGTGATTTGGTCCATGCTTTTGACACATAAATCATTAAAAAGGCAGATTTACCCAAGGGCATTAGAGCATTTAGGTGGAAAGAAATACACAGGAAAAATGTTCGAAAAGGCACAGCAAATACTATTTTTGACCACCTAGGGTACAGACACTGTTTTTGTGTAAAACATGTTCCCTGAAACTTGCACAAAATCACCAAGCCTCGAGGAGAGCTCACAGGCAGAAAATACAGGTATATACACCTGCCTGCCATTTTGGTATAGGCTGTTTTTTATAAAATTCATGAATACAGCTTCCAAAGAAGAAAACCAAGCCTGGCTTCTCTTTCCTACCTCAACACATATAAAAATATATAAAATATATACATGTTTAGCCATTCATTATATGAAACACTGATGGGCCCGTCTGTCCGCACGTGAAAATGGAAAATTACTGGACCAAAGGTGACATTTTCATGAATGAGGTGTTAATCAAAACCTTATGATCTAGAAGTGTAACTAACTGGGTCAGAAATCCAGCAAATCTTGCTAGTTTGATAGAATAGAGCCAAACAGTAACGAAAATACTCCCAGCTAATAGAAGTTTGAGTCGTTACTATGCATGTTGACACTCTGTACACTGAAGACCTTCTTGGCAAAGCACTCAGGAGCCACTGAGTGTATTAGTTTAATTTCACTTCTTTCCCTTCATGCATTCAACAAGTTCCAAGCCAATTATATTACATGGAAAAGGCTCCAGACCTTTCCTCGTTTCAAAATTGTTCTGATTAATTTCTGTTTTAAAATTACAAGTATGCAACCTTCTCCGCCTTGATTTTCCTGGGAAATGTCTCAGAAGACCAGAAAATTGGAGCTGTCTCTCTCTCTCTCTCTCTTTTTTTTTTTTTCTCCCTGCCCTGGAGTGATGGATCTTTCACAAATGCATAATTATTATTACCTTTTCCAAACTGTTTGCTGCATTTTTAATTACAGAACAGCTGCTAATAAAAGGAAATTACCAAACTGCCCTTCCTAATTCAAATAACTTGGTTTTTTGCTCTTTTGTTCTGCCTGGTGTCACAACCTTCCTTATTCCTTCACAGGGAGAAAGGCACCAAGAAAAGAACATTTTGTACAACAATTCTATTTTTAATCCTCCGAGAGGAGGTAGAAAAGGGCATGAGCCCATTTTCTCATTTGTAAGTCGGCTTTAAGGAATGAAGGAGGACAGTCATCAATAACATGATTTTATTAGCTGATAGGAACGTGTCACCTCACAAAATATTAGCTCAAGGGCAGGAACTGACAAACGACACTGGGAGTGTGGGAGGGAACAAAATATCCCGGCAGCAAAACTGAACTTCCTGAAGGAAATCACTTTCAGCTCCCAGTGATCCCCCTGGGAATCCAGGAGGTGGTCGGATTTTAATACTATGGGCTTGTCTTTCCATCTTTTATAATTACAGTTAGTCATAAATATGAAGATTAGCAATAACAATGCAGCATTTCCCAGCTCCTCTGATTTCGAATTCCCCCTAAAATGGCTACAATTAATTACTCATGTTTTCCACGCTGTCTCAGGCGTTTGTGACTGTGACACTCTTGCACAGCATTGATGCCACAAAAAAAGTACTCAATGGCATGTTTTTAATGAACCATCACAGGAAATTTCCATGTTCCCTAAATGCTTGGCTATAAGTAACAATAGCCCTATGATTGCAAATAATTTTCTCCCATTTTGGTTTTGTTTTCATGGCTTGTTTTTGCTGGGGACATTTTTATTTTTTTTTTTTGCTTTTATGTATTTATTTTCAACTGTTCTCCTTAAGAAAAACGTGGACTGAATATCATCATGAATTTTCTTCTAGTAAAATCTTTTAGAATGCAAAATAGTTTCCCCAGTAGAGAGAAAAAAGCACTTTGGTTGGGATATTTAGTGTAAAGCCAGCGAGCTGCAGAAAGAAAGGAGCATTTCAGAATAGCAGAAAGGTGGAAGAAGAACACAACTCATCCCTGTCTGTGCCCTGAAATGCAGCAATTCTCCAACACAGGGCACTGGCTGTAAGCACAGAGCAGGGCATGGGTATTTTTGTGGAGTGTTTTATGTCAGTGAAGCATTTCATTGGTAAGAGGCTGTGTGGGTAGAGTTTGGTATCTAACAGCAGGAACACAGCTGTTCTCTCCTGTCCCAGCCTCCCTCCTATCCTGTGACCATCTCTAAAGCCTTCAGCCACTCATTTCTCTGACACTCAGCTCTGCTGCATCTGCTTTTTTTTTTTTTTTTTTTTTATATTTTTTTGCAAATGGAAAGGAGAAAAAAAAAATCAGCTGGGAATATTTAACGAAGCTTGAAAAAGACATAACGTGGTCTGTTCCCCACCTTCGGATTAACAAAGCAGATTTTGTGCAAAGGAGAATGGAAAAAAACCTGCCAGCGAGTGAGGCAGCTGGAGTATGTGGATCACATTACAAACCAAGGGCTTGTTTTACAGCCATTGTCACATGTCACATTGATAAGCTGAACTATGGCAAAAAAAAAACCAAACCCTAACAGAGCCAATGATCTCTAAGATCAGACAGAGTCTCTTTACCTAATATATGCAGCTAAATATGTGTGCTCCCTACATCTGCCATAGCAACAAGGAGAGAAGGAGGAATTAACTGCATTAATAAAAAAAAACAACTGAAGGGACTCCTGTATGATACAACAAAACGTGAGAAACCTCTCAGCATCAAAGCAAACGCAACAAAAGCACAGAGAATTATTTCAGAGCAAATCATTGAAACCAGCTGATTACCTGAGCTTGCACATCCCTGCTGTAGGGAATCCTGTAATGATGTCACAGAGTGAAGGACTAGATAAGAGAGGAGAGGAAAATCAGGGAACAATAAAAGGAGATGCCAAACCACAAACTAAACAGTAAGCAGGCTCAACAAATAGCAAAGTGCTGATCTCGGCAAGGGCTCGCTGCTCAGTTAACTCATGGCACAGAAAGGCTCCAGCCTGGCTTTTCTGTGTCAATAGGTGTTAGGGGAAGAGACAGCCACAATAAAAGTGTCATTGCAACCCAGCATTCCCCCTATAAAGCTTAGTTTTCCAGCTCACCTCCTGAGACAGCAATCGATATTCTCCCTGGAACAATCCAAATCCCCTGTGCAACCCTAGGAAACAGCGCGCAACATTTTCCAGCTCTTTGGCCAAAATTTTTGGGATTGCGTGTCATATTCATGCCTAGATAATATCACCCTAATGAGGAACTTGATAACTGCTGCTTATCAATTACACATAAACGTTTGTAAACATTCCCAGCACATCCCCTTAGGGACTGGCTGGGCTGCCAGGGTGGATGGTGCCACTTCCATAACGCCTGGACCAGCAATGGTGCAAGGCTGGCTTACTGCAAATTTAAAAAAAAAAATAAAAAATACAGAAAATAGGAAAAAAAAATGGAAAAAAAATCTCCTCCTCAACTCAAACAACATAGTGGAATTTTAATTACCTTGTCCTTGTTGCTGCCCTTGTGCGGGCAGGACACACTGTCCCAGCTCACCATTCAACCAGAGCTGCATACGAATAAATGGTTCTCGGCCTTTTTGGGTCAATTTGCTCCATGGCTTTGGCCTGGAGAGCATGTCACTGACACTTCCTTGGGACAGCCCCAATACCTGAAGTGAAGCAACCAAGAATGGCACGTTAACACACTGGCAGTGGAAACGGGGGGAATTTAATTCACTTTGGTTTCCTTTACTGTATCGCTCAAATTGTTTGTATATGGACAATTGTAAGAACTGTAAAAATTGGACATTTATAAGAACTGCTTTTTGTGGGTACTCAGATGGAAATGCTTTTCTTCCTGCCACGTTGCCTTCTGAAGGAAGGTGGGTTTTTCCTGCAGGATCTGGGTGGCAGCAGTCTGGTGAGGGATTTGCATGCTTTTCATATTTTGTGTCAAACAGTTTCATCAGTTTTAACAGGAAAAACACTGAGTCCAGGCACACACAGGCAGATGAAACAGGCAATGACTGGCATGTATTTTGTTCTCAAACAAAAATAATTGGGACTTTTGAGACTAGGCCTATATTTTGTTGATTTTTGGGGGATGAATTATAACAATGTGTGTTTTCACCTGTAGCAGCGGCTGCTCCACATAAGTAAATATTTAAGAATACAGCCGACTGCAGTGGGGGGGAGAATTTCAGACAGGCAAAATGCATTTACTTGACTGGAATTCAGCACAGGTACAAGAGTTAAAAATCATACTTAATGAAAGCTGCCATGGGATCTTTAATGACCCCGAGAGGTCAGACTTTTCATTTTACATCTTAGTGAGAAGGTAATAGTGCGATGCCAGCTCCTATTACACTTTTACATTGATTCAGTTCTTTATAGGAAGAAGAAACAAAAAATGTCCAACACTTTTTACAGCCTGGGAGGGGATTTCTGGTGGTTAGGGACCCTCAAAATCCCACGTGCTCAGTGCTTAGGGCTCACAACGTGAGAACTTCAGGGAGCCTTATCTGTAATCAAACATTGCTCTAAAACATCTCAGAGCACACTGAGGAACTGAGCACCAGGTATTAGAAATGACTTGGAATTCTTGACTTCAGACTAAGGAGAGTAGGGGATTTTCCATGTGTTTGTTTTAATGCCTTTACACACATTTCCAAATAATAACGAAAAAGGAAAAATGTTCTTGTGTCCACAATCTTCACTTATAACAAAGTTAAGACTCTCCAGTCATGACAGTGGTATTACTCAAATATTCCACGAATTCATTACATTAAGCATGAAATATTGAGTCTCAGCAACGTTTGCTTCAGCTTTCAAGTTTTCTAAACTCGGGGCCCCATTCCTAATTCCAAGTGGCTGAAGCCAATCCCTGTATAAAAACCCTTGCAATTCCTACCACACAGGGAAACTAATACTTTGTGAGCTTCGTTTGGAAGCACTTCACACGCGGAGCAAAACCATTTTTCCATAAGACACCCCTGGCACATCCCCCTGTGGCTCTGCACCCGTGTAAGGAGCAGAGGGCACAATCCCAACACTGGTGAAACAAGAGAGAACCACTTCTTTACCTTTTCCCCAAAGATCCTTTGGCAGATGCCATTCTTTGCTAGCTTTTCCTTGACCTGCCGCGTTAGCTCTATCGTATCCACCTCCTGGTACATATAAATCTCATACTGCTCGGGTGTCAGTGGAGGAACCGAAGGTTTGGATGGCTTGGACAAGGACACGATAGGGGATGAAGGGAGGGGGCTATTTTGTGGTGTCTCACTGCGACTCGCCCCAGTCATGCTCAATTCAGAACTCTGCGAGTACGGAGATTCCGCGTTTGGCCACTCTTTCCAATACTCGGAAGAAGACGGTCCTTGGAGCTGGCTACGATCTGGCCTAGTCTGATTGCTGACCTTTTCTTTTCCACCACTGGCTTCCTCAACTTTTATATCTTCGGGAAGAGCTGCATTTCTTCTCTCATGCTGCACAGTATTCCACCAATGGTCCTTCCAAACACCACCACGTCCCAACTCATTTTTAACATGCCTCAACATACCCTGGGCAGAATCACTTATTCCATGAAGCTCTAAAACAGGTGCCTCCTGAGGCTCCTTTTTGAGCCCAGAGAGGTTCTGCAATGCAGAGATACTGGAATCAGTGACAGATGAGTGTTTCTTCAGGGATATGGCCAAAGGAGAATAGCTGGAAACCGAAGACATTGCAGGTGTAGACACTAGTTTGGGGGACAGGATAGAAATGTCAGCTTGAGATAGAGGTGGTGTTTTTAAGGCAGGTTCAAGGGCAGCCTGCTGTGCCTCCATTTCCCGTCGGGCTTGTTGCAGAATGGATCGAATTGCATCATCAGAATTGCCACTGCTAGAGGCAGAAGGCGGCTGAGCCGGCTCAGCTATGAAAAACAACCAAAAGACTAAATGCAACAGAGGAAAATGCTTTATATTCAACACGTGCTACTGTAAACATTTCCCTGACAGGAAAAAAAGAAAAAAAAAAAGGGGGGGGGGGGGGGGTTTTATCTGCTGGTTTCACAGGGAGTTTTGAGGGCCAAATTAATATTTGAAAGGAAGTCT